CCGGCAAGGAAAACTTTTAATGATTCTAAAATTACCATTTACGGCAAATTTATAGTACATTTCTAGGACGTTTCTGACTTATCTCAGGTAACAATCTTCTAGCTCATAAAATAGCTTCAAAATCCATCAGAAATGGCAATTTCAGGACCATCAAAAGTTTTCCTTGCCCGGACCTTTCCTCATTGCAAACATGAGGCGGAAATGATTTCTACATATGTTCTTTCAGATGTCCTGAAATGCGCCACAAAGTCTCCTGAAACATGAACTCTTTGCTGTACTGAAATGTAGCCATATTGAGTCATTTCAGGTTCATTTCAGGCTACACAAAATTTATCATTTTCCTGCACTGCAAATGGCTACGAAAGTGGTAGCAAATCTATCATTTTGGGACACCAGAAAGCCCCGGTTAAGTCTTCGAAAATGAGACAGTTTTGATGGGTTGACCAGGACATTTCAGGTGATCTGAAACCAGCTCATGCCCGTAGTGCATATATCAGAGTGAGGAAAATCACCAGATCCGCCGGTTCATCAGTGATGTGTACAGTGGGGCAGCCTTCCACTGTGAGACCGACTGATGCATCAGCAAGTTGGAACATGTCTTGGAATACACCTGAGAATCGAGAGAGCATGCCCCGGTAGAGCTTGAACCAGGCCTTTCCCGCGATTAAAAGCACATTCCCATCGTCGAACCACAGGTCTTGATGGCGATAATGTTGGGCGCAGATTGGCGTCGCGTCAACGAGACTGAAGGGGGTAATATCTAACTTTCTGCGGTTGGCCCTCTCTGCGCTCTCAGCCGCCTTTTCTGCGAAATTAGCCATGGTCGAAGTCAAAGGCGAAACGTTCAACGCAAACGCCGGATAGGCCAGAACCCTGATGGCAGATCAAATGCCATAGGGCATCTCGACGCCTATAATTGAAGGCTTCCGGCTTCAAAGCTTCAAGCTGAAATTTGGAGCAAGTCGCGAGGGATACAACCTGTTAGATAGCTAAAGAATTGTATTACGCGACTCCGTTGTGTTTGGGTGAGATTCTGCGTTCGAAAAACAATGCCCTTGCTAATTTCGCTTGTGTTAGAGCCACCGTCCATCGCCAACCCCTCGTTTATGAGCTCGAGTGGCTGGAAAGCGAAAAATGAATCTGTTCCAATATCTGGGCGTATCACGTGGCGCAGCGATTGGCTCAATCATTTGTAACTTTATGCACATATACGTTCTGTCTGTGGAATGAATCACAGTCCGGTGCGCGCAGCCCTATCGCCTGCTTTACTTGTAGTGATCGACAGAAAATCCGCGTCTATGATTACGCGAGGTTTTCCATGTAGTCGCACTCTCCAATAACGCACAGTCCTCCAACGTAGGAGGGCACACACCGGCGCAGACTGCAATGTCCTGACATAAACCTGCAAATGCTGTATCCAAGTACATTATCGCTCCAAACATCATCGCCTCCGCACTGACAGTCCCAAGAGCTGCATAATCCGTGCGTCACTACCACATCGTCGTATTGGCGCGCCGCAACATGATAAGTACCCCTTTGCTTTTGTTGCCTTTGGGTACGCAGCGTTCAGGCACCGCTATCGCACGGACCAACTATATCGGCACGGTGAGCCTACGGAACAAGCGCAACGTCACCTCTTGCTGCAGTGCTCGCGAAATAAGTGCTTTCAATTGGTGGGTTGCGTCTCAGTTTGGTTCGGTTCAGCGACTCCTTCAGAAGAACAAGACCTAGAATCTAGCAGGAACATCAATACCAAGGCAAGGACGAAGAATAGGCATGACTAGGATTAACAGACCATGTCCAACTTCAAGCTGGGTTCACGAATCAGTCTGAACCAAGAATGAGTGAATAAATTAAACAAAATAAATATGTAGTACTGTATAATTAATCCGGTGGTAAATGCGACGGTGACCTATCACACTAGCATGTCGGGCATACGGTAAATGTAATGGCCCTAATGTTACCTTACTGCGATCTATAGCAAGAGTAAATAATTACAACAATGGTACGGTACCGCCAACTGGAAAACAGATATAAACTACTATTAAAACCTTGTAGGTACAGCGGGGCACTGGGTTGTTGCGGTGGCTACTTAGTCAGGGTGTAGAGCGAGAGAACAATCAAGCAGAACAGTAGTAGAGCAATGATGAAAGGTTGCGACGCGTCAATGCCTTCTAACATGCGGAAGATGAACTCATTCCTTGTGGGCTCAGGTTGAACTATGGCGGGTTCGTCGTGTGTCTCCTGAACGGAAGTCACTTTTCTGGCGATCGCTGCAATGGTAGGGAGCGCACGATGGTTGGGCTCAACGTCGGCATCTTTACACTTGCGAAGATAAATTTGTCCATGGGTAGACCAATGGCGACTGATATGAGTTCGCAGGGTCGACCCACTCCCTCGAAGCCATGCTATCCCCCTGTAGTCAGCTGAGTCCCTGAGTATGCTCAGTACTTGATCAAAGGCAAGAAGAGAGCACGTACTGGCACACAGGGCACCAATAGCCTTTCACGATAGCACCATTCATAACGCGTTCTTCGTACTTGAAAAAGTTCCGAATATCTAGGGTGGCATCGCGCTTCGAGGGCTTTGCAGGCTACCAATAGAGTGTAAGTGAATATATATATATCAACGTAAAGCAGATCCGTACCCGCTGTCCAATTTCGACCACTGCGTTCGTACGGTCAACCTCGACGGCGCCGTCTTCGCCATTATCATTAGGCAAAGATGGTATCTCGACCTCGACCAAGACACGGGCTGAGAGCCTGTTCCAGGCATTGCCTTTCGACGCTTGCACAGGCTTGTGACAAGTTCAGCTGTATGCATGACGGCATGATAATGACCACTTACTGCTTCATCGTCAGAAAGGACAATAACCTCCTTGTCATGAGCCTTCTCATCTTCGCTTTCCTTATCCGAGTTAGCATAGACATTTGATGTTGAATGCGATTGATGGCTTACTTCGCGAGCTCTTGTTGTTCCCCCATCTGAGTCAGGACGAGGTGACACTCTCAGGCTTGAGGTGTCTGTTTTGGCTGACTGTATACGGCCAGGCTTTGGTGAGAACTCGCGGATGGGGCTTGAATCGTGGTGAGGGTCAAGACTGGTGGCCTTCCGAATCTCCTGGCGGACCTGACTATCACGGCGGATACTCTCCGCAGGACTCTCTCTCGCGAAAGGAGCAGGACTAGACGATCCTCCTGTCAAAGAATAAGATGGAAACTAACTGGAAGCTAGCAAGAGACGTACTGAATGGAGTAAATCGAGGACTAGAATTTCCTTTAATTGTATTATCAGTGAACATTCAACATCACAAGAATAGATAAGACGCACTTAGAACGTCTGACAGTGCAGATACGAAAGATGGAGCCACGGGACTACTTGGCTCGTTCTCCGACTCCGGCTCCGACTCCGCACCCCCGAAGCTGTCGGTGTCTTCGACAGGGCGCCGATCACTATCAAAGGGAGAGGACGACATGACAGTGGGGGTAAGGGCTCAAGAGACTCGGGAGTGTTGCCACTGGATAAGTGACCTCGACAGCGAGATGACAATATTTATATATCTGGCCCCGAACGGAGAACGACTAGTTGGTTCACATACCAGGGCTCGTGCGACTCGTCGACAGGGACGCTGGGCGGTAAGCGTGCTTTTTTCCGGCATAAAATTGGCCAAAAACTGATTCAACAAGGCCCCAACTTTCTCCGGTTTTCACCTGAAAAAAACCGAAGGCAAAACTCAGTTTTCCGCCAGTTTTACTGTGTTTTGGACCATTTTGGCTAGTTTTGCACCAGTTTCTCCTCATTTGCATCGGCATAAAATCGAGGAATAACTGGGCCTTGTTTAGCCGCTTTTGCCTGAGTTTTCTCAAGAAAAAAACTGCGCTTACCACCCTGTGGGATCGCTGCAACGATCAATCGATCAACGTTACTCCGACCTGAGGAAGTGGTGATACCCCGCCGAAGCCACTGATTCGACGGTTTCGCAGCGCTCCGCCATTTATGCTTTCATAAGAGCTAGGCAAGCTGTCAATGCGGCGTGCACAAGTTTGAAATTGTGCACCAGGCTACAAACCTCTCAGAAGCTAGTCTCGTCCCCAGTTCTAGGTCGCTCGTTATACTCCGGGCGGACTGTGTGGCGGACTTTTCAAGGTAAAGTAGTAAGTAACAGCGGAATGACACCCGCGGGCGGCTTTAAGTTGCTCTTTGCCTCCGAGTATATATTATGGTACGCACCCGTCCCGTGTAGTAGTATGTTTGCATTTATGTCTTCTAATATTTCATCATGCTATGGGCTTGCAATGGTCGCATCAGTTAATTTTTCACCTGCAGCTCAGTCCGCTATGAAGGCCTCCGAGGTCCCGCTTGGGGTACTAAGCAAAGCGAAATGGGGTCTCCAGGGTCTCTCTAGTTAGATAATATGCCTGAAAATGTCACTATTTCCAAATCAATCGACCGCCGAGAGGCCCCTATCTTCAGGAATTAAGCTCGGACGCCCGTGTGGTGAACACGAGGGTAACGTGCGGAGTTCACCCGCTCGTGGGGGCCAGCGACCAGAAGATGATTGATACTTACAACCAAACTGATAGAATGCTGCGAACTGTCATTGTCGTGATGGTTGCGAACGTCAGGCTGCGACCAGAAGAGTTCTTGCTCCACGGGGTCAACGCAATAATTACAGCCGTTATTGTCTCGAAAAGGGATTGCTGTTCAGCGCAGTAAATCGCACTGATTGAGTTTAATGGTTCCAATTTGAGACCAGGATGGCGTTGAAACGGGTCGTTGAAACACTCGAACCATTGCGAACTTGTGCACACGAACGTAAGGACCGCTGTTCGTACCTGGACAGGTGCCCTTTTGCGTCCGTTTTCACCACTCGGCCATTCAGCGATGTTACGAAGCTAAACACGTGGATCAGTCGACTACGGCCTTTCTTCTGTGGGATCTCCTGCCCTAGGCCCATCCTAGGAAAAAGTGAGCGGAGGCTTCAAAGACTATCAGAAAGTTTCTGCCGCGCCCGAACTTTACCCTCGCACGCAGACACCACTCGCCTTGACTTGCCAATTTTCTCCTCGCACCCCTTAGCAAATGGAGCTCTACACGAATTTTGTTCGACCCCTCGAAATACGCCTCCTGTCGGCACCCAGGCTTCCGGACAGGGCACCTTGCCGCGACCTTGACACGTTCATGACAGTTCAAGTCAATACCTTTACTCAACTTCGTGAGTTGCCATCCAGCCTTCACGACTCAGCACTGTACCGTCCTCTGGCGCACTGGGCGCTCCAAGACGATGCCGAAACTTTGAAGGGTGACAATGTTGAGCGCAATGATGTTTGAATGTATGTAGCGTCATCGGGCCGACTTCCTGAGTCCAGCCAGCCTCAAGAGGCAGTTCACGCCAAGTTCGTCCAATAGGCATTGCCAAGCCTTGTTGCTACCGTCTCTGCATTCGCTGGGACTTTCGGAAGTCAGTTGGTCTATCAGGGTCCGTTAATTAAAATAACCACTTAGCGTGAATTTTAAGCCTGTGCGCAGCTAACTATTCAAGGAGCTGGACATGTACTGTCTCCCCTCGCCGTACAGCGGAGTAAAAAAAAGCGCTAGATCTGCGGGCTTGTCAGCGACGTGCACCGTGGGACAGCCTTCTATCACGGGAGCAGCCGATGCACTAGGTCCTGGTGGCAATAGTATTGAGCACAGGATGGCGTTGTCGCAGCGGGACCGAGGACATAAACAGCTTTTTTCTGCTCTGCTTGCCCTCTCGGCCGTTATTTCTTAGAATACACTCACGACGATCAGAGTTGGACGTTGGAGGCTATGCTTTAGACGCCATGATGGCGAACTGATGGCGCATCAAACGCCACGAGGCTCTGTGACGCTCAAACGCTCAAGGGCGGGAAGACACCGCCAGCGAATATGCGAGTCAAGCCACCAAAGTATCTCGGAGCTATTGAAATCAACGGATGGTGAGATCAGGAAGTAGTTTTCAATAGACAGCTGTTATCTATGTAAAGCTCCTGTCGACGCGGGACCTGTTACCAAGAAGCCCTGAGCGAGCCAGAATCCAACGACCGTGACCTTAACGGGAGAAATCTTGTTAATAGCATGCAAAACCATAGCGGCGATAGCAATAGCAAGAGAGCTTGCCTAAACAATGACGATTACGACACACGATTTAGTGGTAATCTACAAAACCTTGCAGTTTGCGGGCAGTCCGTGGAGGAAACTTGAACGCTGACAACTTGTCGCCAAACGTCCGTACAATGCGCACGATACTGTCCTTCAGTGCTACGGGAGAGGATGAGTTAGCTACAGGCTGCATTGAATGGAGGGAAAGACTTACGATCTGTCATCTCGCTCAGCGCGTCTCCGGCTCGCGCAAGGTCGAGCGCAAGCTCCTGCATCTCCGCCGCCTCCTTCGCGTTCAGCTGGCCCATCTCCTCAGGAGATGGCACGGGATACTTGGTAATAATTTCGCTCTGATAGTCCTCGACCGCACCGAGGAAGGACAGCAGCGCCTCGAGGATGCGCGGGATGTCGCGCTGTACGACGCCGTACCGGTCCTCCGTCAGCGACGCGCATACGAGCGAGCAGAGAGCGTCCGCCGCAAGACCGTCCAGCTTCCGGTTCGGCAGCGCGGCCTCGACAACTTTGTGCACCCGCTCACGGTGCCACCAGCGCTCGAGCCGTGCGGCCGCGCGGCGCACCGCGGACGGCGACTGCGCGACGAGCTCCTGCTGGAGGCGACCCTTCCACTTGCCCGGCAGTGCTGCCAGCTGCATGATCTCCTGCTCCCCTTTCTTTACGGTCTCCACAGCAGCGCCGGCAGTCTCCGCAACAGCTTTCGTTTGGGACGGCAGCACCGACCGGAAGAGCTCCGGGATTTGCGAGGCACCCGCTTCGGCAGTTGAAGCCAACGCAGCCGTAACACTCCCATCAGATGCGATTGTCTCCAGGGCAGAATGAAGAGGTGATGCACTCTTCTGCTTGAGGACGGGCTCCTTGATGAACGGCGTCTTGGGTATTTGGGGTGGCGCATCGAGTTTCTTCGCTGGAGGCGCTGGTGCTGGTGCAGCAGCCGGAGGCGCGCCACGACGGAGCAGCAGCTGGTAGTCGCGTCCGAGGGTCAGGAGTGCTTCCCTAGCAAACGCCGACCACAAGTTGGGGTTGTACTTCTGATCGGTGAACAGCGCCACACGCCGGGTAGAGCCCGCATGTGTTTCGTCTCTCGCGAACTGCGCAAGTTCAGCAAACGCGAAATGCTTGTAGTATAGGTCTTGTGATGTTGTGCCAGACACTAGGGTGACGGCAGGGTCGGCCGTAGCTTGTGCGACGTTGATGGGTTCTGCGACGAAGGTATCGAATAAGTTCTCCGCAAAGTCCCATGTGGAAATAGTCAGGAACCCCAGCATAAACGCGCGAAAAATTAATCCGGTGTGTCTCGTCAGAAGTGTCAGCGCGAAAGGGCCGCGGAGGAAATGTGCCAAGAAGGGCCGGAGAAGGTGAGATAGGACTGGCAGCTTGAATACGAAAGGGATTACGATTGCTCTCGCGCAACCAAACAGGACGATGTGAGCCACGGTGCCCATAGCGGTGAGCAGCAACGCACTTGCGGTCACTGTAAGGATACGTGCCAGCATGAACGATGGTATTTCATTCATCGCCCGGGCAGACATCGACCCCGTCCATCGAACGGCCAGTCGGTCCATCATAACGTTTCGCAGTACGTAGAATGCTGCCAGAGATATTTGCGAGGAGATTAGGTATAGGAGGCGGCCGTTGAGGTAATATGGGTGCTTTCTGGAGGCCACAAGGTCACAATAGTAGACACAACGAACGCAGGAGGACGCACCTAGACTTGACAAACAAGCTCAGCCGAGGGTCCCTACCAGCTCTTACATCAAACACCAGTGCCGTGACGACATGTATTGCAGTCAAGAGTGACGCAGAGGTAAGGTAGACAGCCAGAGAGCGAAAGGTGCTGCTCTTGTTCAACGCGTCACGGAATACCCCCGACGGGGAAGATGCAGATGCAGGACTGGCTGATTGCATGATGAGTATATTGCCCACGAAATATACTTACAACGACGCACCTGTCAAGTATACCTTCCTCAGGACCAACACCGGCACAACCCCCGATATCCAGATAATGAAGGCCAAGCCTAACGTTCGCGGAAAGAATGGGCTGATCAAAGCCCCAACTAATCCCAGCCTCGCAACCCCTCCCCGCCCTGCCGTTGCCGTGAGTATGACGAGTGTCCAGCAGAAGAGCGCGGAGTACAGGAATGTGCGCGACAGCAGTCGCTGTCGGAGGACGTTTTTGACGAGTGGCTCGTAGTTTTGAGAGGCTGGGGGCACCGTCGACGCCGCACGTGAGGCCCAGTTGGACAATAACGCCTTCATTGGCGCTGCAGGCGTCGGTGCAGACATCGTGGACGTGGTTGAAGACAGCGTCCGACACGCGATATCCAACCCCGAGGAACAACTACAGGCGCTTATACGCGACACAGCCCTAACCCCGGGAACCCGGGAAGCTCGACTTTTGTCGTCCTGCTCGAGGACGTGATCCCTTGCATCTCTGACCACCGAGCTAGTTGACACTGTTCACTGTGCGTTCATTTCATCTAAACCCAACACGCATAAACACAAATATACATGCAAGCTGCCTAGAATATACACGACAAATATCGACTAGATCCAGCTGAGGGATAGAGCGCGCCTAGAGCTCGCCCCCGTCAACGGGAGCTGGCTGGATCACATACCACTTGTCGAAGATCATTTCCGGGTCGTATTTTCTCTTTAGTTGCTGCAGCCGTGGATAGTTCTCCCCATATAGCTCCTGAGCCCTGGTCCGCTTGGCGGTGGCACCGGGAGCGGGTAAAACATCGGTATCCGCGTCTGCAGGGATAAAACGATAAAGTTCAGCATCACCACAGTCCAGGAAACCGTAGGATTGACGCTTTGCGCACTGAAATTGCCATAGCGCAGGCCAGGGATCTTGACCAGACCTGTAATCTCGTCCAGAATTTGCTTAGCCTCCGCTTCCAGGCCCGGCTTGTCCTCGTCCCAGAACACAGCTCCGATGCCATTTCCAAGTCCGGGCCTATCGCGTGAGTATGCCGTCTCATCGTTTGGGACGCTGTTGACTTTGTCTTGGGACATATACTCGAGGTTAAGTGACACTCTGAAGGGCTTCCCCGGAGGTGAGAGCTCCACGACCTTGTTGAAGATCTCGGGCATCAGAACCTTGGTTGCCCGGTCGACGGCGACGCCGCGAATCCAGTTGCATTTTCCAGGGGCGGCCCACTCGTCCTTCAAGACCGGTCAGCTTGTCGCCCCCGATGTCTTAGAATTTCTAAGTACATACCAATAACGAGTTGAAGCCGTCATATGACATCTCTCGGCGCGTGTCAACGATAGGACCTGAATAGGATCCATCGTTATCGTCTGCGAATGAGTGCGTAACGATTGTAAAGCTGACCTAGATCTGTGAATGACTTGAAGGTCTCGCGCCCTTCGGACTCGGACCCGTTGTAAAACATCAGAAGCGTTACTGCAGGCTATAGAAGAGACACATTAGTCGGGTATATGCGCATTCTATGGCCATCATTTTGCCTACCGATCCATCCTGACCACGTCCCATATAAGCATGCACAGCCTCTTTTGGTCCAGCGGTAGGGAACCAGGCTTCGATAAGTTTGGCGATTGTCTCAAGCTTGTCGGGAGAGAATATCACAGGACCGCCAAAAACCATACGCTGCTGGGAGTGCAGCGCGAAGACGAACTCTGTGACGACGCCAAAATTGCAGCCGCCGCCTCGAATGCCCCAGAACAAATCTGGGTTTTCGGTCTTGCTGGCGGTGCGGACGATGCCGTCTGCGGGTACCACTGTAGCGGAGACGAGGTGGTCTATGGTGAGACCGTGCATTGGGCTAAGCCAGCCATAGCCTCCCCCAAGCGTAAGTCTGAATAATTATTAGTATGAATAATGAAATCTTATACGGCACGCTCACCCCGCAACACCTGTCTGAAAGCGCCATCAACGGACATACAGCGAAAGACAGCGAACAACTTACATGGCCCACTGTCCCGCCCACCATGGCGAGGCCGTGCTCCATCGTTGCCTTATTGACGGTAGCCCACTTCGCACCGCCACCGACGTAGGCAAGTCGATTCTCGGGGTCGGCCCTGACGCCGTTCAGGTAGCGGGCGAGGTCGATGACCAGACCATCTTGCACGGATGATGCTCCATTGGGGCTGTGGCCACCGCCATGTATCGCGACCTTGATACCGTTTTCCTTGGCGTACCGCAAGGCAGTGGATACGTCTTCTGCGTCGCGAACATATGCGACAATGCGCGCGCGACGTATAGCGTTTACGGCCCAGCGAGCGAGAGCACGTTCGTAGCCCTCGTCCTCCGGCGTCAGGATGTCGCCCTTGAAAGTGTCCCTGAACCGAGCTGAATCTGACATTGAAGGTGGCTCAGAATTTGTTGACGTTGCGTCCTCTCCGAGTCTAGTATTGCATTCCTTATATTCTGGCCTCGCAGTGGCTATGTACGGCAAGCGTTGCCGTAATCACCAATGATATATGAGCAAAGTCCTGATCGTAGTGCTCGGCCACGTAGGGCGCATCATATTAGAAGCAGTGCGAACAGGAACCCTATCTACGGTGCGTAACAAGTACGAAACACAGTCAGCCCCAAGCGTAACCTTCCTAGATTTAGATTAAGAAGTTATATGAGGTATAGACGTACACCGTCTGTCGATGACGGAGGCCACCAAGGTTAGTCTCGCTAGCCCGTCTGTGTTGGACTCACAGGCACTGTACTTTCAGACATGTGAACGAGTTTTAGAAACGGCCGTCTAGGTTCACCTCATTATTAATGGTGAACTAGCATTGATATATGACGGTTTAGTAGCAAGCAGATGCTCGTCGGGTACCGAATGGAAGATTTTTCATCAGTAACAATATCAACTCATCTAGGCTGACGCCCTTTGGAGGGTTTCGGGCGTGATGCCGACACTGATGCGCCCCATTAATGCGCCTTCAATAAAAGCGCCGGTACGTATAAACGAACAGTAGTTTCTTGCCCCCACTGCGCACATCCCATCTGTCGAATATCGCAAAGAAGTTCAGTGATGCAACTATATATGCGTGTCACCGTCTCAGGCAATATTCGAACTACGTAAGTGGATGCTCCGTGCGACCGCTGTCCCCGGAAAAATTGTCGACACAGTACGACATCTCGACGCATCGTTGCAGACGAAATCTAGTATTCATCAGGTCAGTGCACCGTGGCACAGGATATGTCTGAATGGTGCTAATCAGCATCTCCCAAATAGACAGGATGATGGTAGAGTCTCTACATCTACTGCTGCGACAAGTCACGCCAGCGCGAGATCGCAGCCTCGTCTGATACTGAGCATCTCTCGTTCATCTGTCTATTTCCTTCTTAATAAAACACTGGTACAACCTTCAAACCAGCTGCCACACTGCCAAGCGGGCATGAAATGCTGCTTACACTGTGTTTCCCAGGACGCGATGGATCAAGGCCAATCCAGAATAATACAGAAGGGATACAAGATTGACAGCACGCCAGATCTGGTCAGCGTTGAGCTCGCGGGAAGGAAGTGTCCGAATATCTCTCGGTAAACGCTTCCTTACAAAGGTTCGCAATCTCCGACTCGGAAATGGACCGAGAGAAATTGCCTCGTGTCGTAGTCACTACTTAGGGCGACGAGCTCATCGTACGGCGACATGGGTCACCTCTGACCTGTTTATGGAGAAATAATCGCTGTCTGCTAGCCAAATCCCCGTGCCCAATGGCTAATCGAAGGATCTTCACATCCTTCTCCGACCTGCGACCGGAATATGACTTCGCAATCATTGGTGGTATGTGACGAGTGGCGCTAGTTATCTGACATCGCTGACGATACTCGCTTTATGTAGCTGGGATTGGTGGTAGCATGTTGGCCAATCGTCTCAGCGAGGACCCTTCCGCTACCGTTCTCGTTGTAGAGGCTGGCGGCAAGTGAGTCCACCTGCGGCCTACAGTTCTGGGAGATTCCTCAATTTTGCTGGTAGTGAATCCGGCAATACCCAGATGCAAGTGCCCTTTATGGGTGTACGACTGACCGGGGGCTCTGCAGACTGGAAGTATGTCACAACTGCTCAAGAAAGCATGTCAAGCCGCAAGATAGCTTGCGCCAGGGGAAAGGCTCTCGGAGGCACCACTCGTATACGTGAGTTTAGGTGCGCAACTTCTTGACACAGGTCAAGTATGCTGACACCCTTGCAGACTTAATCTTAATGACGTGGAATAACGGCGGGGCAGAGGTGTGGGATCGTTGGGCAAAGATCACGAAAGATGACGGCTGGGGCTGGGACGTCGCGAAGCATTACTACAAAAAAGCATGTTTCCTTTTTCATGGTTCGATAACAAGACGTTGAAGCAGATTCACATAGGCTTGTCGCCTCGTTCCTCCCGTAGATGGACGTGACATACATGGCTTTGTTGAAGCGTCCGTGCACGGGGAGGGTCCCGTAGCGGTTAGCGTCCCCGGCCAACCCACACCGCTCGACAAGCTAGTATTTGGTGCTGCTGAGGAATTGGGCAGAACTTGGAGCTTCAACACCGACTTCAACGCCGGGACTTTTCTTGGCACAAGTGAAGCTATATACTCACTATTTTTTCGCCACGCCTTATTCTCTTACCAGGCTATATGCAGTCGTCGATTGGTGAAGGAGAGCGCAGCGATGCTGCCTCCGCGTACCTGTACTCCGCTGCCATCCGCCCGAATGTAGATATTCTAACCAACACCTACGTCACCAAACTTGTGCCTGCACCTGGTAGTCAACCGTCGGACTTCCGCACGGTCGAGTTGGCACAAACCCGAGATGGTAGGTATCCCGCTCCATTCTGTGAGTCCCTTATCACTGACAGCCTGAGATGTGTCGGTTCCTTAGGCCCCAAACGTATTGTTACGGCGAGAAAGGAAGTTCTCCTTACAGCCGGTGTCATCGGCTCGCCCCAAATACTACAACTCTCCGGCATTGGGTGTCGCAAAATCCAAAGTTGCCTCATGAGATAGCCGCCTCGAGCTGCCTCGGCACTCCCGGCTGAAGCCTCGTGATGCCATCATGAGTGCTCCCTGAGCCAATGAAAAGCCTTTGCGGACACCTGTGAGAACAAAATACCTTTCCTGGAAGGCTTCCCACGGTTAATCTAGCTCCCTCGGGCAGCCTCGGGCTCGCTCAAGCGCTTCTCGTGTGAATCTCATGAGGATATAGTCTCGTCCCCAGCCATTCTAGCGCGCCCGGACTTCGCCGGTCGGAGACTGCGTCGGACATCAATGGTGATGTGCAGTCTCTCGCTAGAATGTCTGGTCCACTTGGATCATCCGG